TAGTGGCACATATCAAATATACAAAACGCAGAGCAAAAATGTAATACGTATGTAAAAAATGCCAAAAGTTTTTTTTTATCACAAACTTTGACATATATCGGTGAAAAAATGGGTGCATGTTAAAGAAGCACTATAGGGTCAGGAACACAAACATGTATTCCTGACCCTATAGGGTTAAAACTACCATCTAGCCCCACTGGGCCCCTCATGCCTCCATAAATATAGCAACATCTTACTGTATTCAAGCCAGAAGCTGTAGATCTGCATGCTGTTTGCCTAAAAAAAAAGCAAAAAAAAAAAGCAGTCTGCTAACATCATCAGAAGTGGTAGCCTGATCCAATCACAATGCTTCTCTAAAGGATTGGCTGAGACTGTCAAAGAGGCAGATCAGGGTCAGAGCCAGCATGATTCAAACACAGCCCTGGCGAATCAGCAACTCCTCATAGAGATGGATTTAATCAATGGATCTCTATGAGGAAAGTTCAGTGTCTGCATGCAGAGGGAGGAGACACTGAATGTTTGGATACATTTTAGGCAGCCGTAACCCAGGTAGGATCTCTTACAGCCATCTGAGGAGTGGCCAGTGAAGTTATCACTAGGCTGTAATGTAAACACTGCATTTTCTTTGAAAAAAACAGTGTTTACAGCAAAAAGCCCGAAGGTAATGATTCTACACACCAGAACAAATTCAATAAGCTGTAGTTGTTATGGTGACTATAGTGTCCCTTTAAGGCACAATATGAAGCATATGAGATACCCTGAAGTGTCTACTTTTACAAATGGTAGGCCTTTTTGGTTTGTTTGTTTTTTTGAACAGTCAAACTGCTATAATACCCCAAATTGAAGCATAGGCCCATCAAATTAGTCTCTAAAGATTTTAGTGAAAATACTGAAATGTACAGGTCTCGTATATAACATAGTTACATAGCTGAAAAGAGACTTGCACCCATCAAGTTCAGCCTTCCTCACATTTGTTTTTTGCTGTTTATCCAAAAGAAGGCAAAAAACTCAGTTTGAAGCACTTCCAATTTTGCAACAAGCTAGGAAAAAAATTCATTCTTGACCCCAGAATGGCAGTCAGATTTATCCTTGGATCAAGCAGTTATTACCCTACATTATATCCTTGAATATTCTGTTTTTGCAAGTATGCATCAAGTAGCTGTTTGAACATCTGTATGGACTCTGATAAAACTTCTTCAGGCAGAGAATTCCACATCCTTAGTGTTCTTACAGTAAAAAAACCTTTCCTTTGCCTTACACGAAATCTTCTTTCTTCCAGTCTAAACGCATGACCTCGTGTCCTATGAAAAGTCTGGTTTGTGAATAGATTTCCACACAATGGTTTGTATTGGCCCCGAATATATTTGTATAATGTTATCATATTCCCTCTCAGGCGACGTTTTTCTAAACTAAATAGGTTTAAATTTGTTAACCTTTCTTCATAGCTGATATGTTCCATTCCTTTTATTAATTTTGTAGCCCGTCTCTGCACTTTTTCTTGTGCCATAATATCCTTCTTTAGAACAGGTGCCCAAAATTGCTCAGCATATTCAAAATGTGGTCTTACCAGTTATTTATAAAGAGGAAAAATGATATTCTCATCCCGAGAATGAATGCCCTTTTTCATGCATAACAATACCTTGCTGGCATTGGCCACTGCTGACTGACATTGCACATTGTTGCATAGTTTGTTGTATATAACAATTCCCAAGTCCTTTTCGTGTGTTGTTATCCCTAATTCGCTTCCATTAAGGGTATACGTTGCTTGCGTATTCTTTACGCCGAAGTGCATAACTTTGCATTTTTCAACATTAAATTTCATCTGCCATTTGAGTGCCCAGTCCCCCAGTCTATCTAAATCCCTCTGCAGGAAAGTAATATCTTGCTCACATTGTATTATTTTACAGAGTTTTGTGTCATCTGCCGACACTGAAATCTGACTTTCAATGCTGTCTTCAAGATCATTTATAAACATGTTAAATAGAAGGGGTCCCAGAACAGACCCCTGAGGGACACCACTTGCCACCTCTGTCCAGCTTGAAAATTTATCATTAATGACAACTCTTTGTACTCTGTTTTAAAGCCTACCCAAGAACAAGCATTTTCATCTAGACCGATTTCCTTGAGTTTGAACACTAATCTATTGTGTGGAACTGTTTAAAATGCCTTGGCAAAATCCAAATAGATCACATCCACTGCAACACCCTGATCGATACTTCTTCTTACATCTTTGTAGAACGCAATCAGGTTAGTTTGACATGACATGTGCTTCATAAAACCATGCTGATTTTTGCTGATAACCATGTTCTTCTCAAGGAATTCTTGAATATTATCCCTTAATAACCTTTCAAATATTTTCCCAGCCACAGAAGTTAAGATCACAGGTCTATAATTTCCAGGCAAGGATTTTGAACCCTTTTTGAATATATGAACCACATCTTCCTTCCTCCAATACTCCGGAACACTTCCTGAAAGAAAAGAATCTTGAAAGATTAAAAACAGAGGTTCACTTATTTCTACACTTAGTTCCTTAAGTACTCGTGGATGGATACCATCAGGCCCTGGAGCTTTGTTTATATTAACTTTCTTTGGTTGCTGCAGCACCTTGTCTTGAGTTAACCATTTACAATTATTCTGCACATTTTAGTAGCAATCATTTGCACATCTATGGGTTCTTCCTTAATATATACAGAGGAGAAATAGTTATTTAAAATTCCTGCCTTTTCCTGGTCTTCATTAACTACACCCCCGTTTCAGTTTCTAGTGTACCTGCACTCTCATTTTTTTTTTTTTATTTATGTACTTAAAAAATGCTTTTGGGTTGGTTTTGCTCTCTATAGCTATCATCTTTTCATTTTGAAGTTTAGCAAATCTAATTGCCTTTTTGCACGCATTATTTGATTCCTTATATCTTTTATAAGATGCATCTGATTTGTCCGATTTAAATGCTTTAAATGCCCTTTTCTTATTTTTAATCTCTTGTTTTACTTCTCTACTGACCCACATTGGTTTTAATTTGTTTCTTTTATATTTATTAACCAATGGTACATACTGAGAAATGTACCTTTCTAATATTTGTTGGAAGATGATCCATTTATCCTCAGTGTTCTTTTCACTAAAGAGTTTATGCCAGTCAATATATTATAAAGCTGCCCTTAACTTATTGAAATTGGCCTTTTTAAAATTATATGGTTTAGTATACCCCATGTGCTTTTGTTTTTTTGAGTTTATTTCAAAGAACACTATATTGTGATCACTATTTCCCAAGTGCTCACCTACTTGAATGTTGGTCAAAAGATCAACGTTGTTTGTTAAAACCAGGTCCAGACATGCTTCCATTCTAGTTGGTGCTTGTACAAGTTGTGACATGAAGGTGTCATTTAACAAGTTTAAAAACCTAATTCCCTTTGCTAAACTACTAGTCCCTCTGTCACAATTTATGTCCGGGTAATTAAAAACTCCAATAATTAAAGTGTTACCCAGATTTGCAGCTTTCTCAATTTGCTCAAACAGCTGTTGTTCCTCGTCAATATTAACATTAGGTGGTTTATAACATATCCTAACCAATAGTTGGTTTCCCTTCTTTTCCACCAAGCAGATATTTACCCATAAAGCTTCCACATTCTCCTCATCACATTCCACTTGCTTAAGATTTGGCTTTAAATCATGGTTGACATACAAACATACCCACCACCCTTCTTGTTTTTCCTATCCTTCCTAAATAACATGTACCCATTTAAGTTAACTGCCCAGTCATGTGTCTCATCCCACCATGTTTCAGTTATGCCTATTATATCATATTGTTTAGTGTGGCACTGTAGCTTCACGAAATAGTGCCAAAGATATACAATGGGGGTATCGTTGTACTCAGCACATGTAGCTAAACACAAGATAAAGTTTTGTGCAGGAATAGCACACACCAACTTTACAAAATACACATGAGAAGATCTTTGTTATTAGTTTGTGTGTCAAAAAACTAAAAAAATCACAATTTTACTCCAACATTTAGCAGAGATTGGCGGTGAAATGGCTATGTACAAAGTGTCAAAATAACATTAGGTAAATAGCATGTGATGTCTACTTTATATAAATATATACGTTTGTGTGGCAATTTTGTTTTCTTTTATGGTTATTAAGCTTACAAGACAAACATACCAAATTCTAAAATCGCTCCACATTAAAAATTTATTTTACTCCTTGTGTTTTGTGACCTGTAACTACCAAAAAAACTTAAAATCCTAGACACATTATATATTCTGTAAATCAGAACAACTAAATTAATGTATTTTTAATTACTTTCCTTAACCTGCACTAATTATGCACACATTATTATTGCAAAAACTGTAAAAAAGCCCCAATATATTTCCTTTTCTTTGAATTTTCTTTTGTATTTTTTTTTATAATAAATAAGCATTTATATATATATAAATATATATATATATATATATGTTACATCAAATTAAAGCACTTTTTGTCCTTCATAAAACATTATATAATATGTGTTGCTGCAATAAATTAGTAAAATGCAAATTGCAGTTGAACACAAACAACAAAAAATCCAAAAATTGCTTGTGTCATTAAGTGCAAGACAAGCTTTTGAAGCTGTGTCCTTAAGGGGTAATGTGTCTTGGATGTGACCTAATTTGTCATCTCTGTTTTTTTATGTTACTTATTGAATGACAATTGCTGCTTTACTTGCTTCTCTTATTTGGTTTAATTAAACCAACAATTAAAAAGAAGCTGTACCTGACATAGCTACCGCAAAATTGTACTGGTTTTGTAGTAAATGTTTACATTTTATTTAACTATATACACACATAATATATAATAAGCCACAGCACAAGCTGAATATTATGAAATCAGATTGTTGCATATCCTTCATCCTCCCTTGAATCCCACAATTTTCTACACTTAGTTTACAGCTTTCAAACACGTGTACTATTAGTGACTTCAATATGCAGCTCATTTGTTGTTTGACTTTATTAGAATGATTTATTAGTGGTAAACTTAAAATATTCAAGTATTATTTACTGTGTAGTTTTTAATTTTTAAAATGTTCTTGAGATAAAAGAATAAAACATTGACGTGGGATTGTAATGACAGTTTTATTGTATTTCATCATAAATGTAAGCATTAACTCACAATGTTGACTTAATACTGAACTCTTCTGAATGAACCCACCCTAGAGTTCATGGCACCCCAGTCAGTATATCTCCTATACTCTCCAGGTCTAAGGTAATACTGGCGCCCCCTGTAGTTGGGCTCCTCGTAAAACATCCAGTGACCATCAAGTACATGGCAGGAGTGGATATCATGGTAACGGAACTGCTCATATACATTTGGACAATCTTCAGTAAACTCCATCATCTGACCTCGGAAATCTTCCCTTTCATAGATCTTCAACTGGAATGGACCACGGTGCTAGGATTAAATAAAATATCATATTAGTGGCAAAATTCTGAAATGCAATAAAATATGTGCAATAATTAAAAACTGGTATTTGTATAAGCTAACTGCAGCAATTATAATCTGGTAAAAGAAGATAGTAATGAAAATAATAAAATAAAATAAGACTTAATTATTGGTTAACTGAATCAACAGGAAATTACAAGAGTTATTTAACAACTATGTTTTTTGTAAAATGAGTACCTGTGGAGTAAGTCGACAGGACCTGACAGTGTCATCAAATCCCATCCATTGCTGGAAATTGGGATATTCTCCTCTCCTTAGGAAGTACTGGTGTCCTCTGTAATTGGGTTGTTCATACAGAACCCAGTTACCATTTTCTACTTTGATGGAATTGCAGCGCTTCAGGTATGTGGAGATGTCCGGACTATCAGCATTGCATTCGTAGGAGCGACCCTGAAAGTTTGGTTCCTCGTAGAAGATGATCTAAATAGAATATATTGTAAACATTTAAGTTCTTCAAAAGAATAAATTAGAGTACATTTTCTGATTTTCAGATAGAGAATAGGCATGCATGTCAAACATATTTCTTTTCTATGCTATTAACCTTTATGCAAAGGGTGTAAAACACATGACCTGCTAAACTCTAGTATCAATTGTGCAAGTCAAAATCTCAGAAATAGAAACAGGGGGACAGTAAGTGGGAAAAGGTGCAGTTACACAGTGCAGGCTAGCCCCTCTAAATACGGGATCACTCCCACATGCCAAAATCACAAGATCCAAAAATAGTATAATCAAAAACATATACTAGTGAGGGCGCCACTATCACAAATGTGCAAATATAATTTACCATTCAGATTGTTGAATATGGCATGTAAACGAAATATAAGAGAAAATATACATAGTGAAGTATTTAATGACAAAAGGAAAAAATAAAAACAATGGATACACTCACAAAATAAGTGGCACAATGACATTCGGTGTAATTTTTTCCCCCCATTCTGCGCACACACGTGCTATAGAGAGCTGCGCAATCCACTGTATTTAAACTGCCAGGACGGAGGAGTATACACAGCTCTTGATAAAGTTGCCAGACGAAATGCGTTGAGCAGTGAGCAGTTTGGAGTATCCCCAAGGACTAAAGCCTAAAAGCCAATACCTATCAGACCTACAGGAAAACATTCAGCTTCGTTCACATATGTTTGAAGACTGGTGAATACAATGAGTGACTGACATCCTGAGGTACCAACAGCTGATATCAACTGTATGGGGACTTAGCCCTTTGGTGGCTGACAAGCTCTTTACACAAACAGATACATTTCTTTGTGCCACTTATTTTGTGAGTGCATCCATTGTTTTTATGTTTTCCTTATGTCATTAAATACTTCACTATGTATATTTTCTCTTATGTTTCTATTACATGCCATATTCAACAATCTGAATGGTAATTATATTTGCACATTTGTGATAGTGGTGCCCTCACTGGTATATGTTTTTAACTATACTATTTTTAAAATCTCAGAAATAATCTGTTTGGTATCAGTATGATATTTCATCGAATATTTATCTCTTACAGGATTATTTCCCTAAAATGAGAATTCAAAGAAAATTCAAAGTCAGTTTCAAATTTAAGGTAAAAATAGTTATTCGAAAAATTCTCTAGGCCAGCTATGCTTTCACTTCTGAAACTCTGGCCCTAAATTTGAGAATTCACTTTAAATTCACTCTGGATTTTCACTTTCATAACCCTCAGTATTATTCACTAAAGTGAGAATTTGTTGTGAATTTTAAGTAATTTTTAAGTTTAAAGCTGAATTGGAAATATTTTTGTGGTTTGCTATGCTTCTAAATTGACTACTTAGGGCTCAAATTTGAAATTCTAATTGAATTTATTTCAAATTATCACTTTAGTGAGTAACTGTCTGATAGTCTTTGTTTCATGTTCTTTATGGATCTATCTAATAAACTGTCACTATTTTATGGATCTATCTTTTCCAACTATCAGTCTCTCTTGGCTGGTCTGCCTTTTTTCTATTTTATCACTGTCTTTATCTGTCCCTGTATTGAGAAATAACTTCAAACAATATAATCAAACAACTTTTTATGTTTAATTCTACAAAAGTTAAATGAATTTGTTAGGAATATTTTATTTCAGTCATTCTGGTAAAATACATTATTTGTATATTTCTCATTTAATTACAAAATAGCTTAATTTAAAAAGTAAAAACGATAATGGCTACATGTATGTTTTAAACATTTAATCTAATCTGCAAAATACAAGCTAAATAAAGTAAATTTGTTACCTTAACCATCGTGAATTGAATAGTCCCGTAGTCCCGTGGAAGTTCGGTAATGATCAGTATTAACTAAAGAATCCTTTTTATACCATAGCAACTGCTGATGTGTGCAAGTGCATGTTTTAAAAATGACACTGACTTTTTTTGCTGTTGACTATAGAAAACATGTAGGTTTTTTTTGTTCTTCATTGTTGTTGTGACCTTTCTCTCCTTTATTTTAGATGCACTCACTGATAACCTCATTGTCTATGATTTGTAGGCAGCAAGTTTATGTTGGACATTTAGAAGTGAATGGGTACATGTTGCATGATATATGTCAGTTAACACTTACTGTTCTGTGACACATTTGTAAAAAAAAAAAAGGAACTTGATTGTGCTAAAATTAATAAAGTATAAACATACCTTTTGATTTTTTGATACAACATTTTGTGGCATGAGTTAGCACAATATTCTACAATCTTTATAATAGTTCCATAGAATAATATAATATCGAAGAATTTTAACCCTTTCACTACAAAAATGTTAACTTTTTTTAATGAGTAACGTGTTTGAAAGCTTCAATGCTTAGCTCTATTTTAAAGTAAATACACTTTTACTTACAAAATATTATTACAGAATATCGAAAATAAAATCATTATGTAGTTATCGCCAAGTTTCTTCTACCACTGCTTGGCAAAAAGTACCAGTGGGGTAGAGTAAAAGTTCGTTTGGGTTTCAAAGGTCAAATTTCAATTTATAATGGGAGAAAAGAGGTTCGGGAAAACGGTCACATATTTAATTGTGAATAAAAAAGGGAGCAGCTGTGAGTAAAAAAGTCGCTTATCACAAATAATAATTTTTTTTAAGAAAAAAAAAAGCCCACTGGAAGTGCCTATATAGGAAGAATGTAATGCACTGCCATAAAAGTATAAAAGTGCCTGTGTTCAGAGCCAATCTCAATGGCTCTGCTTATGTGAGTTTTAATTTGCACATTTATTTAATTCACTATATTACTTATTGCACAGTGTTGCCCTAGCTGTAGTCATTTTTCTGTTTTTTTTTTTAGATATTGTTAAATCAATCAATAACTACAGGATGAGTGTTATGGTTAACTACACCCATGAAGGGCTCCACAGCAGTGTTTTGTGATATTTGTATTATGTTTCACTAATCTCTACGTCTTTATTTCAATTGCAATTAAGTGCACTTAGCTAAATGCTGATTGTTGCCTGTTTCTTTTAAGATAACATTACAAATCCACCTCCTGTGATCCACTTTGTGTGCATGTTCTAGCCAGTGGCGGATCCAGAGCCTGATCTCGGGAGGGGCACTTGTAGATTATTTAAAGAAATAATCCAGACACAATAATCACTACAGCTCAGTGTAGTGGTTATGGTGTCAATAGTGCCAGGACCCCCTCCCAGAGTAAGTAGTCAAACCGTTTAAGAACAGTTTGACAACTTACTTGAGGTCTTCTGGGAAATGGGGCTGTAGTAGGGCATAGGAGCAGTGGTGTGTGTGAGTGGTGCAATGTGTAAGGGGTGCAGTACGTGTGTGTGTGTGGGGGTAGTGTGTGAGCAGTGTGTGTGTGAAGGTTGTAGTATGTGAGTGAGGGTGGCAGTGTATGTCAGGGATGCAGTGCATGTGTGGGACAGTATGTGTGTGTAACAGTTGCAGTGTGTGTTTGTGTGAGTATTGCAGTGTATGTGTGAGTGTGTGTGAGGGCAATGTGTGTGTGTAGAGTGTGTGTGTATGGGGGCAGTATGTGTGTATGGGGGCAGTATGTGAGTATGGGGGCAGTGTGTGTGTATGGGGGCAGTGTGTGTGTATGGGGCAGTGTGTGTGTATGGGGGCAGTATGTGTGTATGGGGGCAGTGTGTGTGTGGGGGCAGTGTGTGTTTGTATGGGAGACAGTGTGTGTATGGGGGCAATGTGTGTGTATGGGGGAGCAGCGTGTGTGTGTGTATGGGGGGCAGTGTTTGTATAGGGGCAGTGTGTGTATGGGGGGCAATATGTGTGTGTATGGGGGCAGTATGTGATTATGGGGGTAGTATGTGTGTATGGGGGGCAGTATGTGATAATGGGGCAATGTGTGTGTATGGGGAGCAGGATGTGTGTATGGGGGCAGTATGTGTGTATGGGGCAGTGTGTGTGTATGGGGAGCAGTATGTGTGTGTATGGGGAGCAGTATGTGTGTGTATGGGGAGCAGTATGTGTGCATGGAGGGCAGTATGTGTGCATGGGGGTCAGTATGTGTGTGTATGGGGGCAGTATGTGTGTATAGGGCAGTATAGTATGGGGGAGACAGTGTGTGTGTATGGGGCAGTGTGTGTGTATGGGGGCAATGTGTGTGTATAGGGGGCAGTGTGTGTGTGTATGGGGGCAGTGTGTGTATATGGGGGCAGTATGTGAGTGGCCTGGGAGGGCAGTGTGTGTGTATGGGGGGCAGTATGTGAGTATGGGGGCAGTGTGTGTATGGGGGCAGTGTGTGTGTATGGGGGCAGTGTTTGGTGGGGTAGTATGTGTATGGGGCAGTATGTGAGTATGGGGGTGCAGTGTGTGTAAGGGGGTCAGTGTGTGTGTATGGGGGCAGTGTGTGTATGGGGAGGCAGTAAGTGTGTATGGGGGGAAGTGTGTGTATGGGGGGCTTGTATGTGTGTATGCTGGGCAGTGTGTGTATGGGGGTGTATGTGTATAGAGTGTGTGATAAGGGTAGAGGGGGGCTTTTTTTACAATATATGTATTTATTTTTTATTTAATTAAAATAAATATTCTATGTCCCCCCTCCCTTCTTACCTTTATTGAGGAGGAGGGGAGACATATTTCGATCCCTGGTGGTCCCAGTGGGAATCCTTGGTGGTCCAGTGTGGAGAGTGATCCCTAGCCCACGCTCCCGGGCTAGAGTTCACTCTCGCGAGATTTTGAGCATTGCCGTGGTAACCACGGCAACGCTCCAAATCTCGCTAGAGGAGGACCCGGAGGAGCTGCAGGCAGAGCTCCCGGGTCCTCTCTCACTCCTGTGATCTCCCCTCCGGTCCGCAGGCCCATTGCAAGGCTAGCACCTGCATGTGCTGGCAGGGTAGAGGGAGACTGTCGGATTTCTCGGGGGGGGGGGGCAATTGCCCCGTTGCCCCCCCGGATCCGCCACTGGTTCTAGCAAGTAAAAGGCATGGCACCTTTCTATTTTGCAGCAGACATATTCTAAGGTATTTTATTAGAAAACATATGTTAGGAAAATATTCACTAGGGAATAGTGATTTCAATTTGAACATTTCACACAATAATACAGGGAGATCCTACCAAACTGAAATTCTTAGGAACAGAAAAAGTCAGAGACTGGAGAGGGGAAGATCTAGATAAAAAAATTAGCACAACAGGAAATGAGTTGGATCTTCAAATTAAAAGCTCTATCCCCTAGGGGCCTCAACGGGGACTTTGAGATCTGCCATTTCTTATAAACGAGATATATTTGATTAATATAATGTTCTCCCCTTCTCTATTATTATCCTTACATTTTAATCATTATTTTTTATTATGTACTTTTTACTATATTTTTATTCGTGTATTTTTTTATTGTTTATTGCTTTTTTGTAATTTCTCTTGTATATCTCTCTCTCTCTCGATTATGAGAATATGCAGGTTGGCCACTAACCCCTAAATAAAGATTTGTGGAAACAATTGGATTTATTATAAGAAGTTTTGCTTTAGTAGAGAATCCACTTCATATGGGAAATATATATAAAGCAATCATGTATCTAAACAAATATATTAATATCTGGTAGATAATTTTTGTTCAAAATAATGTTACACATATGCTTTATATATTAACTCAGCTGTTTCCAAACTGTGTGCCGGGCACACAGGGAAGCCGAAATATATTTTCCCAGAGCTATGATCATAGCACCGGGAACTGTGCCTCCCTCTCCCCTGCCGGCTCTGCAGGACTGGAGGGGAGATCAGAGATTTCCCTCTTAGGCCCACTAGCAGTGTAATGCTGCAGCTGGCAGGAGAGGGAGAGAGGACCTAGAGGAGCTCTAACTTGCAGCTCCGCCAGGTTCTCCTCTCGCGAGCTTGGAACGTTGTCGCAGTTACCATGGCAATGTTCCCGAGGCTGCTAGATTTCACTCTCATGACGGCGACCACCAGGGATTGCAGGAAATGTCCCCTCTCCCAGGCAAAGGTAAGCAGAGAGGAGAGATATAAAAAGTATTATTTTTAATTTAAAAAAAATATCATTATATATTCATGAATTTGCCATTCCATACCCACAGACTCAAAACCAGAAAATAACTCCCTCCATACACAGACACTGCCCCCCAACACACTGCACCCCCATACACAAACACATTACCTTCTATACACACACACTGCCCTCCATACATACAATTACCCACATACACACAATTTCCCCCATACACACACTGCCCCCATACACATCCACTGCCCCCGCATACACACAATTACCCACCCCTTCCACACACAATTAATCCCCATATACACAATTGCCCCAATACATACAATGCCCCCCCATACACACACTGTACCCCTCACACACACTGCCCCCATACACACACACTGTACCCCTCACACACATTGCCCCACACACATTGTACCTTTCACACAACCTGCCCCCACACACACTGTACACCTCACACACACACTGTACCCCTCATACAACCTGCCCCCACACACACATTGTCCTCCCCACACAGAAGCTGCCCCTTTCCTTACTTTCCAACCAAATGCATTCCCACATGCAGCACTGTATGCTACAATTACATTGCTACCCAAACCAGGCAAAGACCCTACCATATGTGGAAGCAACAGACATATTTTCCTCATAAATATCAACCTTAAATTATTCACCAACATTCTGGCTAATCGCCTGCGCCTCCTCCTTCTGGACTAGTCCACCCTGACCAAGTTCGCTTCGTACCAGGCAGGGAAGACAAAAACAACACCACAAAATTGCATAACCTGATCCATTTTTCTAAACACTCTCCCCAGCCCACTTTGTTGCTATCAATCAATGCTGGAAAAGTGTTTGACAGGGTGGACTGGTCCAAGATGCTAATTACTTTAAAATGTATGGGCTTCGGTCCAAACTGGATTCACCGGCTAAAAACTTTATATTCTAAACCCACTCCAAAAATATGCATCAACGGCCAACTATCAAATTCAGTTACTATTTCCAATGGCACAAGACAGGGGTGCCCACTC